AGTGATGCCAGGAGCTACTAGTAGCTTCTTGTTACTACTAGTAAGGCACTTGTTACTAGAAGCGATGCACTTGTTCCCAGTAGCTTCTTGTTACTACTAGTAGAATCCTTGCTCCTAGTAGCGATGCCCGGGTTCCTAGTAGTGATGCCAGGAGCTACTAGTAGCTTCTTGTTCCTAGTTGATCAATCTGCTCCCGCATGGAAGAATCGCCCAACATTTGCTTGCTGTGCGTATTTGGAAGTGTTTTCAGGCAATCCATGTGTCCAACTTGAGTTCACTAATCAACCCGACAATCCTGTCTTGAGTCTTGGTTCGACTTGTCCTGGGTTCAGGATTTGAATCCTTGGTCTTGAATCTAGACAGATGTTGCATGCTCATGGTTGGAGATATATGGTTGGGACCATCGCTCTTAGGTTGGAGGCCATCGCTAGCAGGTTGGAGGCCATCGTTTCTAGGTTGGAGGCCATGCTCTTGGAGATATTTGGAGTTTCAAATCATCCATCTGCCGACCAGGCCTTCAGGCTTTCGCTTCCTTTCGAGACAGAGATGAGCTTAGCTCCCGTGGCCCATTCTGTGTGGGGGCTCAGTGTGACAGGCTGTATGTGGACTGCCGTGCCCCTGTGGGTATGATCCAGGACACGCTTGTGAGGCATTCAATAGGACTCCTCCCCCAAAAGAGTCTCGAAACCAAAACTTGACAAAACGAAAGCCCGCTTGTCCGTGTGGGCAAAGGTCTGCTTTCATAGAACATGTAGTGTGACACTTGTGGTTCACTTGAACCGCGACTGATCTTTTGCGGTGCAGCTGGCCTGAGGACCCAGAGAAAGATCCTTTGGCAGGCCAGGTGCCAAGACACGGTTTTGAGAGCTTGATGGGTCTTTTCTTGTTTTCTACCCTTTTCCTTCCTTCCTTTCTTTCTGTCTTTCGGTCTTTCTTTCTTTCTTTCTAGTAGGTTGGAGGCCATCGCTATTATTGTTATTGGGTTTCTTCCTTCCTTTCTCTCTCTCTCTCTTTTCTTTCCGTAATTCTTTATATTTTGTGTCCGATGCGGAGAAGAGCTCACCTTCAACAGCTTGGAACTTTGCCTTTCATGCAGTGTACTAGTCTTGATCGGTCCGTTGTTCTAAACATGGGCCTCTCAGGTGGTCCACCTTCACATTGGGGAGGAGTCTTGGAGCCCAGGTAGAGTGAGCAGAACGTGATTCCGCAATCTTTTTTGTTTCCAAGACCAAAGGCCTTAGAGACACTGCGCTTTGGGTTCCGTGTGCCTGGAATACACAAGACCTCTCAGTCTTTCCGTTCCCGATCGTCTCAGGACGGACTTTCGCAGAGACGCGCATAGTCGAACTCACCCTGCTACTAGGAGCAAGGACGCTACTAGTAGCTCCTGGTCTTACTACTAGTAATAACAAGAAGCTACTAGTACTAGTAGCAAAGGGCATCGCTACTAGGAGCCAGAAGCTACTAGTAGCTCCCTGCCTAGCACTCGGGTGAAACACATCCCGTCTAGATTGACTCAATGGCGAACAGTGGGTCTCCAAGCACAATCACAATCGTTCACCCCCGAAGCCCACAAACCGTGCGGTATCACTCGCAGCTCAAGGGCATTGCTTTGCCTGCACCTGCAAACCCACGGAAGGCAAGGATTGTGTGAGCGACTTGGAGTTTCATGTACAAAACAGAATCGATTATGCAAAGGATGCAGGTTAGTTATACTGCATCATCAGCATTTGAAAACTACTTTGCTAGCGTGTGTGCACCAGCGACGTCCCAAAACTTTCTCCACATGGAAAGAAGCACAGCTTTCTACACCAGAACGCAGCTGCCAGGAATATGAGCTGTTGCTAATCGAGCCTCAATCCCGGGTACCCAAGTAAAGTATGAAAAGCAAACGAAAAGGCAGCATGTTTTTGCAGGGTCTTGTGGTAGACCCAAGCTGCTTGGGCAGGAGGTAACTCCAGAGCCCAAGCCCAAACAACGCAGGTCAGAGAGGTGGGCGAGCTGACGAAAGAGCGGACGAAAGAGCAGTAACAAGTTGTGTAGTTGAAGCGTAGTCGTAAGGCGTTGTGAGATGAGGAAGGATGAAGAGAAAAAAGAAGGAAGAGGGTCACCAAGTCTCAGCTTGAGAGGGTAGAGGGCCATCACAACAGCACCTGACTGCCACCGTTTGCAGGGTCACCTTCCGGACGCAGGACCGCTCAGACCGCTCAGACGGCTCAGACTTGGAGGTGTTTTCAAGTTGAATAAACACGTATAATCAAAACTATTATAGGTCTTGTTACTAGTAGCTTCTTGTTCCTAGTAGCAAGGCCAGGAGCTACGATGCCCTTGCTACTAGTAGCGATGCCCTTTGCTACCATGTGCTGGGCGGAATGAAGCGGAAAAGGAAGCGAACCGATCTGCACGAACCACCACTTTAAAGGGAAGGTGATGTTTGCAGAACCGAGCTTCCACGCACTGTTACTATAGGATCTACAGAACATCAACGAAAGAAGCGAAAGCCATGAAAACTCGGAGTGGAACTTTGTGTTTTCCTTTCTTTTCCGTACGCAGCCTGAAACCTAATAGCCAATGGCTTCTTGCTCCTAATAGCTTCTTGCTCCTAGTAGTGAGGCCACGAGCCCCTAGTAGCGTCCTTGCTCCTAGTAGCGATGCGCTTTGCTCCTAGTAGCGATGCCCTTGCTCCTAACACCAAAATGGAAGGACTCGGTGATGGAGATCTCCGCGCCGAGCTCCAGCAGCTTCCAGGAGCGGGATCGCCCAGGTGACGTGGAAGTGTGACATATTCTAAGGACCAAGGCCGCTACTAGGAACAAAGGGCATCGCTACTAAGAGGAAGCTACTAGTAGCTCCTGGCCTTACTACTAGTAACAAGAAGCTACTAGTAGTCATGTCAATAATGAAGAAAAACACAATCTTCTTTTGAGTTACTAATGGCGGTGGCCTCCAACCTGATAGGGATGGCCTCCAACCTAAGGGTGCTCCACGAAGAATTCTAAAGACATATGGATCCATCCAGAACCTCAGCGGCTGTCTACTCGTGTCTACAAGTCTACCACCATCCCTTGGTTCATCCCCATCCGTTCCTCGAAACATCCCAAACATATATATATATATATTATACAGTATTGTTTCTACTAGCTTCTTGCTCCTAGTAGTATGGCCAGGAGCCCCTGTCGTAGCGTCCGATCACTCCTAGTAGCGATGCCCTTTGTTCCTAGTAGCTTCTTGGGCAAAGTCCATGACAGCTGACTTCTCTGTTCAGGACTCCAAGACAGAGCCTATCGCGGAGGCATTGGGAGATGTATTGCTGGAGATTGTCTGACCGCCGCAGTTAGTGCTGAGGAACCTTCCGACGAGGCGAAGCATGTCGATGCCGCTGGTGGCTGAGGATTGAGAACCAAAAGGATTCAGCACAGTGGCAACAGGATTTTGTGTGAGGACTGTGAGGATTCCTTGTCCAGTCGCAATGCATTGTTTCGTCCAATTGATATTCGATAAGGTTGGAACTTCAGACTTGGTCCGAACTCCCGGATGCACTGATAAACTGCTCGCTCCCAGTGACAACTGAGAAGCATTTTCGACTCAGACCATGGAAAGTCATGCATAGTTTTCATCATGGTCACAGATCTGTCCACGGAAGCCATCTCACCAATTCAACGCAGCGAAGTCATCGGTGCATTTCTTGTCTCACAAAGCTGACAGGGAAAAAGAGAAGCCAAAACACCTCGTGAAGCTTGAACAATTGGTAGTAAGGACGCTACTAGGGTCTCCTGGCATCGCTACTAGGAGCAAGGACGCTATGAACGGGGCTCCTGGCCTTACTACCAGAAACAAGAACGCTACTAGTAGAGGAAGTTAGACGCCCGTTTCCTCGCGTTCGGAGCAACTCCCAACACGTTCGGTGACGGAGACGACCTGGATCGTCATGGGCGGGTCGCCATGGCGTTCGGTCTGGACGTACCGACGCTACTGGATGATGCCAACAACACCAATAGCACTCACGACTGCCGTGAGAGGTCCCCAAGCCCCGATCGGTGTGATTTGAGCACCCACTGGGTGAATCAGAACGAAGATGCCTGTGAAACGAACTTGATGCAGGTTCGATCGATGTGATCTTTTAGGGTTGGTTCCAATTTCTACCAGATTCTGCCCACCAATCTATTCATAGGGGCATTTCTTCCACCAATCTCTGGGAGTATGTTTTCGACGCGATGCTTCCAGATGAGAACGGGCAAGAAATGGACACTTGCAGTAGTAACTTCTTGCTACTAGTAGCTTCTTGCTCCTAGTAGTAAGGCCAGGAGCCCCTAGTAGCGTCCTTGCTCCTAGTAGCGATGCCCTTTGGTCCTAGTAGCATCCGATCGCGTCTAGTTGATGGAGGTACAAAGTCAAGACATTTTCTGCGATAGCCTTCTCGCTTGGTCTGAACTCTTTGATGCTTGGCAATTGGCTTGGGCAAACCGATGTCTTCTGATCTCAGAGAGCTCTTTTTGCTTTTACAAAAGAAACAACTAAAAAGGCCTGTAGTCTTTTTCATCTTCTCATTCTCAGCATTCTCTGTCTCTTACCAAACACAGACCCTTTTCGACGTCGACAGACCTCCTGGCTTGGGCCAAATTCGTGGTTTGCGGGTCTAGGACGAGTTCGAAGAGGAACAAGGAAAAGCCGTTGGAGTCATTAAACGTAACAAAGTCAAGAAGAAAGTTAAAAACACGTGCGCATACACACATGCACAATCATACACACATTCATTGAAAGAAACCTTAGAGATAAATCATCACAATAAACCAGTGAAGCTTCTTGTTACTGGTCGTTCTTGCTACTAGTAGCTTCTTGCTCCTAGTAGTAAGGCCAGGAGCGCCCCTAGTAGCGTCCTTGCTCCTAGTAGCGATGCCCTTTGCTACTGGTCGTTCACGGTCCATCAGGACTCTGCTGACGGCCTTGGTGGTCTTGGGCTTTGCCCTGCGCACCCAACGTGGCCGCCGCCTCTTCGGGCCGCGCTTGGCAGTGCGGGTCCCCGGCCGGTGCCGGGTCGACGAGCGACGGGATATCTGTTTATCTTTTTCTTGTTCCTAGTAGTAACTCCTAGTAGCGATGCCAGGAGCCCCTAGTAGCGATGCGCTTGCTCCTAGTAGCGTCCTTGTTCCTAGTAGTAAGGCCAGGAGCCCCTAGTAGCTTCTTGTTCCTAATAGCAAAAGGAACCCAATAGGGGTGGCCTCCAACCTAGAAGCGATGGCCTTCTTGATAGAAAAGGAAGAAGGACATAGGAAACTCTTGTTTCCTTGGATTACAAGAGGTTCAGGCAAAAAAAGGAGTTGCGACTGCTTCTTAGACGTTTTGTGGCTGCATAGTACCTTGGTTTCTTGAGTTCTTGACCGCATCTAGAGCCATGGGGCCATGGATCTAAGTCTTTACCCAGGCGTCTCATGTTTTGGCGCAGGTTGAGCCAGAAGAGACAGCCCCACGAACACAAGTAGGATCCATTTACAGAGGATGATGTGTTCAAGAATAGCATGATGTGTTCAAGTTCGGCAAAGCATTCGTGGAAACGCTTGTCAAAGACGTTGATTCAGTTGCACTCCAGCCAGGAAGGAGAATTCTGGGCATTTCCCTTCGGATGGATGAGGCGTCCTGGCTGATACTGGATGTAACCAGCAGTCTCAGGTCAAATAGAATGGGCTATCGCCCTGGTGCCGCGGACCCTATCTTTTTTAATCATCGGCGCCTCAGCTCGTCCGAATGCAACTTGTGCGCCTCGGCGGAGGGCGGTTGTGGGACCAAGCACCGACGCGTTCCGCGAGGAGTTCCCACGGCGGAAGGCGTCCTTTGCCACAGCCGATGCTGTTCTGTGCGCAGATGTGGCCGGAGAGGGTGTCAGAAGGCAGCTTCGAAAGCCAATAGAAAAGGTTGGCAGAGCCATGGAAGGCGTGTTACGGCCTTAGCCCATGTTTGGCCGGAGAGGGTGCCGGGCGGCAGAGAATAAAGGTTGGCAAGGCCAAGGCCAGAGCAGTGGAAGGCGTGCTTCAGCCCATGTTGTTCTGCGCACACATGGAGCTTTGAAGCCCAGAAAAAAGGTCAAGCCTCCGCAAGAGCCTTTCCAGAGTGGTTGGGCAAAGGAGGACGTCCCACCCTGCGATGCCCCCGTGCGGGGCAGGCTAAGCCGCAGTCGGAGAAGTCGCCCACGAGGGCCAAGCCCGGTTCAAGAGCCACTCAGCTGTGACACGCTTCTAGTTCTAACCAGTGGCCAGGGTCTATGGCGTACAAGAATGTATAAGATCAGTGATTGGCATGCTGAGCAGTTCACTGTGTCGATCGACTTCAAAGGGGTCAAGTGTAGGGATGTTAAGGTGCCTTCATGTTGTCCCTGCTATTGTTGACGAATCGACCTGCAATTCAATAGACAGTTTGACCTTCCTAAAGGCCAGCCCTTGGTCTCGTTTGCTCGGGCAAGAAGAATCCGTGCCGAGTGATGAACTCGGGGAGATTGATAGGTGGAAGGGGTTTCTTGGATCGCTTTCTTCTGGAAAGATGCAAAATTATTCCAGCCTCGGATCACTCAGGCTAGCTTTGGCTCGTGATCAAATACGAGATGAAGTAGGCTGGCAGAACGCAAGCTGAGCCAACCCTAGTCAAGATGACAATGCTCCAGAAGGGTTGGGAAAACGATGCTTTTGTTCCACTAACATGGGGCATGCTTCCAATTCGCAGCTTCGCAGCTTCGTTTCTTTTTTCCAATTTTGGTCGTTCACGGACCGAAGTCCCAAATCTTGTTTTCCAGGCTTGGATGCGATGGTGACCATCCGCTTCCTGGATCTGGGCTTGAAGTTCTGTCTGGTGGGAAGTCTTCTGAGCATTGCATCTCGGAAGTCGACACGACCCGGAGACGGACCCTGACGACCGGAGACGCTTCGGTCAGCCATGTG